TTTCAGCTCTTAGCCAGACAATTTTCAATGTGCTTTTGCAGCTGGTAAGTCTGAGCCACTCTAGCACAATGTATAAACAATATTCTGTAACAGTGGGTATCTGCCTTGGGCTTTGGGCACCTAAAAAAAAAAAAATTGTAAACTGCAAGAGGCATTGCTAAATCCAAGTGAGACCTACATTGCCTGGGTCTGCAGTTGTAGAGGTCCTCACACTATGAAAATCCTTTCAATGTTATGGTCTAGGTCCTAGATGTTATTTTCAATGAACTCAGCACATAAAATATGTTGGAAACACACATTTGTTCGTAGAACTTTGAATTAGTAATCAGCCTTCTCTAGCAAGCTACCTACTAACTTTAAAATACAACTTTAAATCCAGTTTCTCAGTCACACTAGCCACAGGGCTACTATATTGGTCAATGAATTACGAAACAATTCCATCATTACAGAAAATTCTACTGGACAGTGCAGAAGCTTTAAGAGTGGTGGACCAATCAAGTTGGGCTTTAACATGCTTTCCTCCAAGCTCAGAGAATAAGGATTTTTGTCTTCAATCCTAGCTTTTCTCTCACCTTTACCCCTACCCACATACCTCCTTTACATGTTTTCTATACTTTGGCCAGATTTTAATGCAGGTATATTCTCAACATTTCACACACACACACACACCAATTGAAAAATGATGCCTGAATCCCAGTGACCAAGATTTAATATCTGGAGTACACACCTGGGAATAGGATTCTAAAGCTCCCTTGGTAATTTTTAATGCACAACCAAGGTTGAGAACCACTAGACATATCTAATTTGATCAGGTACTAATAACCATTGTAATTACAATTTTTTTAGGTTTGTGAAAGGCATGCAAGTTATTTTTACACAAAAAAATTTGTCAGACTTTAGAACATCTTTTGTCCCTCAAGCACTTTTATTCCTGTGCTGTCTTAAAAAAAATCTGGCATGCTCAGGACTGAAACCAAGAGCACCATGCTTTCTTATTCCCATTGATCTTGGGCTTCAACACCTATGAACTAGCCCCCCCCCCCTTGCATTTACTATCCCTTCTCTCTTCCTATTACAGTCTGCACCTCTAATTTAAGCTGTGGGGAAAGTGTCCCACCTAGTTCACAATAGGGCTAACTTCACTAATCTTAAACAGGTCCTACTTTTCATAATTGGGGCTAAAAATTTTTTTTAAAAATTAAGTTACTGCCGGGACCGGTTTGGCTCAATGGATAGAGCGTCGGCTTGGGGACTGAAAGGTCCCGGGTTCGATTCCGGTCAAGGGCATGTACCTTGGTTGCGGGCATATCCCCAGGTGGGGGGTGTGCAAGAGGCAGCTGATCGATGACTTTCTCTCATCGATGTTTCTAACTCTCTATCTCTCTTCCTTCCTCTCTGTACAAAATCAATAAAATAAAAATTAAAAATAAAAAAAAAATTAAAAAAAAAAAAAAAATTAAGTTACTAATACAACCACATACTGTTTTCAGATCTTTACCTTGGTTTACTTAACTTCAATAGGATTAATTTATCAAAAATCCTGAAATTCTTCAACATCCCTGATTTAGTCAATTTCCTCTGTAAACATCTGCAATTCACCCCAGACAGGTATAAACCCATATCCAGCTTTTTCTCTAGTTTAATTGATGCCAAACTTTTTCTAAACACTAAAAATTCTCCAACATAGTGTCCATATTAGTTAAGAACAACATAGTATAGATGATATCTATTCTCTGTTAAGTATAGCATTGATAAAGCTTGTGAAGCACTTTCACAGTTACTTAATAGCCCATATTCTTCCTATCACATATAATTTTTCTGGTTACCCTCATTTCTGTCATAGCTGTTTTACTGCTAATTGGTTTCCTCCAGTTACCAAGGTACTTTTTCTTTAAACTTAAATGCATTTTCTTGGTCAAGGTAATCTGAACTAGGGTCCAGAAACTCAAACCCCAATTGACATTGTATTTCAATTTTTCAACTGATATGCCATAAGAATTCTTACAACTTGCGATACATATTTAGTCAGAAATTGACCTCTTTTCCTTTAGACAAATCAAAACACAACAACAGCCAACACAATAGTTGTCTGTGTGAATGAACTGACATCTACTGGGAATCCTCTTTGCAACTATTTGTCAGATCAGCAAAAAGGAGAAAAAATAATAAATTATTTTATGCCAGAGTTTTAATTAGTTTGTGTACTTGAGTTGAAAAAGGTTGAAAACCAGTGATATAGTTTAATTTCTCTTATATTAAATAAAAAAGTCAGTAGGAATGTTTATGTGGCTAAGTCCTTAATTTTCCCAGGCCAGTCAATAATGCTTTCTGGTTCTCGCCTGAAAATTAGTGCATCACAGACTAGCCACATATTCTCAGAATAAGTACGTATTTCAACCAACCTCATTAAATATACAGCTATTCCTTAGTCCCCAAGTATTTCTGTAACATTACCTAAACACTAGTACTTGTAAAGTTTAGTTTGTCACCTGTTGTTTTACTTTCCCTGTCATACCCCTAGGCTTTGCTGCTAAATTGTCCAACAAATCCCTTTGACATTTTATAATTACTGGATGGCTGAAATGATGGTGAATTTTCTTTTCCCTCCATTATATTCTCAGTCCTCATCTGACTTGTTTATTCCTTTCCAATTTACCATACCTTGCTGTTCTTGTTTGCATTTTCTTTTGTTGCACCTAGTTTCCTCTGTAAGATGTTTAAGAACCTGCACAGACTAGTACTAATCTTATAATCTTTATAGGCTTAGGATGTTAAGATAACATTTGAACTGAATCTACTGGGAAACATTTCAACTATGAAGGCATTTAATTCACAGTAGCTTGAGAACAAGAGTATAAAATGACTTTTCCCCATGAAAACCTAAACACATCTTTTGTCAATAACCCTGTGTGTGCAGATGGATGATCATTTCTCTAGCTATTAGTTTTTCCTCAGTTTCTTTCAATATAGTCAATCAATGATTCTCATCACTGATGTTTTTATCTCTCCCTAAAATCAATAAAAATTAAAAAATGAACAAAATAGACACTTTCCCCTAGGCCAGTGTGGCTTGCTTGGTTGGGCATCATCCATGCACTGGGGGGATTGCATATGCCTAGGTTGTGAGCTTGATCTCAGGTAGGGGGCATGCAAGAGACAGTCAATTGAAGAAAAGTTCTCACACCAATGTTTCTCTTCTTTCTTTCTTTCTAAAAATCAATAAAAATGTTTTAGCCTGGCTGGTATGACTAAGTGGTTGAGCAACTACCTATGAACCAGGAGGACACGGTTCAAATTCCTAGTCAGGGCACATGCCTGGGTTGTGGGCACAATCTCCAGTAGGGAACATGCAGGAGGTAGCCGATCAATGATTCTCTCATTATTGAGGTTTCCTATCTCTCTCCTTTCCTCTCTGAAATATATTAAATAGGTGTTATTAGTATTTTAGAACACTGACGTCCCCCCTACCCTCAAAGAATTCAGCTAAAAATCCTATTTTGCCATGAGTTATGTGTAAAAAGTGAGTTTGTGTAGCACAGGAAATCACATGACTGGAAAACAAGGTGGGTAGTAGTATATTTGGTCAACTTAACACAAAAACTACTTTTATACTTTGGATCTCAGACCCAAGGGCAGCCCATAGTTCAGCCTCTTTCTAGTCTGCTTTGTTATAATGATTTAGGAGATTCTTATAAATAGAACTTAAGAATTCTGGGTGTACCTTATGCCTAAAAATCATTGCAAGTAATTGGGGAGGAGTGCACAAAAATTAGTTAATATGAATTAAACTAAATGAAAGTAAAATAAGTTTGTAAACCTCACTATGTTCTCAGTTTTCTATTTTCAGTAATACTGGGACAAAGACTCAGAATCCAGAAGATAACTGGTGCTATAAACAGTAATTGAAAGGACAAAAATGAAAGAAAGCAATTTTCATTCTCCAGTTGTTTCAATTTCCCTAAAATACTGACATGTTTGAATCTCTTCTTTTAAGGATGAAACAACTTAACACACAATAAGTATCTCAAAAAGGGCACAACTGGACCACAAAGCATTGGTGGAAAAGCTTAATCTATTTCCCATTCCACCCCCCCCCCCCCAATTAGGGCATAAAAGCAATTTTGAAAACCCTCCATTCCACAAAGTTACTTTTCTCCTTAATGTTAACACTCACTCCAATGAAATATAATTGAGTAGTGTGTGTTGTTATGCTCAATGATTATGATTCAAATAAAAATATATGTGGTACATTGTGGGGGTTTTGTAGAAACCTCTGTGAAACAAAGTATTTGAAATAAATATAAAATACGAAAATAAAAAAAAACCAGGGTTTTTCCCCCTCCAAATTCCTGGTTTAATAAGGATGTGTTTATTTTGAGGAAAAAAAAAAACGGTCCCAAACATCAGGCTGTTGACAAAAATAACCCACAGTATCAACTTTAAAAAACAAATCTTAAGACTATTATACTATTCACCTAGAGGATGCATTTGACATGCCAACTCTCATTCACAAAAATACATTGTTACATTTGTGTTGAACAGCCCCACATAGCACTCTTATATGGGGTATAACACATACCTCTAACTCAAAGCTGCTCTCAGGTGCTACTCAACTAATGGATTGCCTTTGCAGTTAGGGAAGCAACTAGTGAACTCATCATATATGAATGAAAAGAACTGTACTCCCTACATAACAAGAGATTATTTTGGAGACAGTTGATAAAAACCATACATCCTTTTTATTGTTAAGTCATAAAGAGGTATCAAAATTAAAAGCAAAAATTACAGGTTAAGACTTAACACAACTACTAGGAGCATCAAAGGAAGTGAAAATGGGACTAGGCGCAGGGCAATATGAATGAATGAACATGGGAGGGTCAAGAGAGGGAGAACAGTGAGCATGTGCTGAAGGTACTAGGGAGAGGATCTGGTGAAAATTTTGATCTTAGACAAGCGCCTAAAGAAATAATGGGACAACATTTCTAAACCCCACTATGTGCTTAAGAGTCATCCTCGCCATTGGCGCTGTCTCTGTCATCCTCTCCTTCCTCAGCCTCTTTTTCATCATCCTTGATCAACTCCAGCTGTGAGAAACAGACACAAACAGGATGGAGTTAGAGGCACTCCATGTGTCCCTTATCCCCCCTCCACCACCTTTTTCTTTCCTTTCCCGTGGTTTTCACCTGGTCATCCCCCCGATCTTCATTATCATCATCATCCAGTAGGTCCCCCTCCTCAGCAGAGTCCTCTGCACCCCCCTCGGACTCCATCTTCACATTAGTCTCATCTTTCTTCAGGGAGCTGGTGGTCTGCTCCTCTTCTGTCTTATCATTCTTCATCTCTACTGGGGACGAGAAGGACAAGTCTGTCCAGGGATATTAATGTCCAAAGGGTATAAACAATCCCCACTAATCAATACAAAACTTCAGCACAAGCCTAATTCCTCCCACACAAATGCCCTTCCCAATTCAAACTCCCCAAGTTTTACATTCAATTGCTTTACATCCACTATTCCAATATATACTTTCAATTACCTTAGGTAACTAACCCAATTCTACATCCCCCCAAAAGTAGCAGTACCATTTACCTGCTTGTTTGCTCTGTTCCTTTTCAATTTTTTCCAGGCTTTCCAGTAGATAATCCACTTTCTGTTTTATCTGGGTCAATTCCTTCTTAATGGCCTGAAGGTCATCTCCTTTCACTTTTAAAATAAACAAAACCTTAGATGAGAATCAAATGTATCAGAAGCTACAAGTTACCAAAAACATTCCTACCATACTTTATACATTAGTAGCCAACAGGAAATCCCTAGGGAGAAATGGTATTAGTATCAGTTTGTCTCAGCTATGAGGACTTTTCAATCTTATAGCTGATAAAGGAAAACTCAATCTCCATTACCAGTAGCATTCTGACTTTTGTGGACCTGCTAAAGACTTCAATTCATTTTTAAAGAACTTTCTCTGTACAGTTTTACTGACATACATCACACAAATTTTAACAGGTTGCCTCAACTCCTTGAAGTATTCAAATTACCATGGTCTTAAGAAAAGAGGCAATCTAGAGTTGGTCCCTTCATTATATTACCTTCTTTTATTATGCAAAGGCTTTTGCACAAAAAGTGAAATTATAAGCAGCATTAATTTCATTATTTCAACATAGAATAAATACCACAAAGCTGCAATAATACATACACTTTGCAGACTTGGAAGAAGATCCTCGCTGTCCACTCTTAGAATTGAAGCCACTTTTGCCCCTTCGTGATGTATTTCCTGATACACGTTGGCGTTTTGAGGGCACTACAGCCCGAGCAATAGGAGGAGGAGGAGGAACACGTGCTGGGTAACTGTACATCCTATTGGGTAAGAAGAAAACAGGATTCCTTCACACCTAAATTAAGTCTGCAAGACCAAACAATTGTTAACTTATAATAAATTAGCCCAGCCATTGTTGACTACTGTTTGAGCGTTGACCCGTGAATCAGAGGTCACAGTTCGATTCCTGGTTCAGGAAAACATACCCAGGTTGTGGACTCGGTCCCTTTGAACAGGAGGCAGCTGATCAATGATTGTCATCACTGATATTACTATCTCTCTCAACCTCTCTGAAATCAATAAAAATATATTTGAAAAATAATAAAATAAAAGTAATATAAAGTCTCTCAATCACATCTTTAAACACACACACACACACTCCTCCTAGTAACTATAATATAATCAGTCCACTCAAGAAAGATACAACCAGCAAAGGTGATCTGAGCAAATGCAAACTTTCTTCTTATTTAAAATGTCACCTTAGGCAACACAGAAGAGCCATCTCTTAGCTTTTCCAAGTAGCCCAGAATCCTCTACTTCTCTTAATCACATGCCTTTCCAAGAAGGTGCAGCATTGCTCAGGAATATTTTTAAAAAACGAAAGGGGGGAGGCAAAATAACTCCTGCCCTAGTTGGTTTGGATCAGTGGATAGAGTCCCAGCCTCTGGACAGAAGGATTCTAGGTTTGATTATGGCTAAGGGCATATATCTTGGTGATGGGCTCATTTCTCAGTAGGGCACGAACAGGAGTCAGCCGATCAATGATTCTCTCTCATTATTGATGTTTCTCACTCTCCCTGTCTTTTCCTAAGTCAATAATAATTTAAAAAAAGATAGCTCTTCTCCAAAATCTAAAACTTTGAGAGCCTAGAACAAAATAAGGGCTCAAGTATTAGTTTAAGGAATAGATGGTTAGCTTCTTTCTCAAATCTTGCAATTCAATGGAAACTCTCCTACCACTGTATAAAACTATTTTTCTTTACCTTTGATGAATACACCTACCTGGAAAAAATCTGTAGAGTAAGAATCAACAAAAAATTGCTTGACCTCTCTTCATGTAACCTTTATCATATAATCCTAGTCATAAAAGAGAAAATCTCAACTATACTCGACTCTTCTCTCCCACAAAGCATCTACTTATGTAACTTTAAATCTCATCAAGACCTGCCATTTCTTTGTCTTTTTTTTTTTTTTTAAAGAAATATATTTTATTGATTTTTTTTCTTTTTACAGAGAAGAGAGAGGGTGAGTTAGAAACATCGATGGAGAGAAACATCGATCAGCTGCTTCTTGCAAATCTCTTACTGGGGACATGCCTGCAACCAAGATACATGCCCTTGACTGGAATCGAACCTGGGACCTTTCAGTCTGCAGGCTGACAGCTCTATCCACTGAGCCAAACCGGTTAAGGCAAGACCTCCCATTTCAAGAATTACAATGGTAACTACTTGCACCTTTCCTCCCCTCCAGCCATGGGGCTGTTTCTAAGTTATCAGGATATCGATAAAATTCCTTCATGTGCCATACAAAGCCATTTACAATCCTCATTCTTCCCAACTACAGGTGGCTACTTTCCCCAAATACCCAGATATATTCACAACTCTGCATCTTTATTAAAGTGAAACCTTTCTCACCCTATCTACCTAAATGCTCCCTACCCATTATCAAAGCAAGTTCAAATACAGCCCTTTGTGAAAATGGGGCTCTTTGAATCTTAATAGGGAAGCTTATAGCTACCCAAAGGGCAAGGCAATTCATCTTTCTATGAGACAATCCTCTACAATGCAGAATACACAGTCCCTGTTAATTTCACAGCACTTTCTTTATACTATATTGGTTATCATACGAGTGTTGTATTTGATTTATGAGTTGATGTATTTCATTCCCCTTTCTAATCACGGTATGGTGGCATATTTACCTAACTAGAGGCCCGTTGCATGAAAATAATGCACTCCTGGGGGGGAGGGGGCGCGCGGGGAGTCTCCTCAGCCTGGCCTGTGCCCTCTTACAGTACAGGAGCCCCTGGGGGATGTCCAACTGATGCAGGGAGAAGGCCTAAGCAGTCAATTGGACGTCCTTAGCGTGGCTGAGAAGGTGGCAGAGGCTCCTGCCACCACCACTGTGCTCACCAGCCATGAGCCCAACTTCTGGCTGAGCAGAGCTCCTCTGTGAGAGCACACTGACCACCAGGAAGCAGCTCCTGCACTGAGTCGCAATCTCGCCCAGTCTCAATAGGCCGGACCCAGGCAGCAAGCTAATCTACCAGTAGAAACATCTGGCCCCTGACAGCAAGTGGTTGCACAGCTTTAACCTATCATTAGCATATTACTTTTTAAGTGGTTGAACAGCTGACCAGATGACTGGACACTTAGCACATTAAGCTTTTATTAAGGATACTACATTGTCTAATATTATCAGCTTCTAATGATCAGTAATTTCAAAAGTGCATATTGAAAATTAATGTGAAAAAATATTTTAAATAAATTACAAAAGTTAAGAATCTGAAAAGAAACAACTGCAAAGTATTTCAATGGAACTGTTCACACAAGAAGTCATCTATAAAGAATTGCTACAGGCGGCCGGGCCCGGAGTAGCCAGGCCTAGAGCAGCAGCTGCCAGGCCGGGAACGTCCAGGCCAGGAGCAGCTGGACCCAGAGCAGCTGTGTGGGGAACACCCAGGCCCGGAGCGTCCAGGCCCAGAGCAGTCAGGTCGGGAGCAGCAGCAGCCAGGCCCGAAGCAGCTGGTTGTGGAGCAGACCAGAGCAACAGAGGCCAGGCCCGGAGCAGCCAGGCCCAGAACAGCTTGCTCCTTGCCTGCTCCCTCCCGAAGGCTGCCTCTCAGACATGGCTGGAAACTTTTGAGGGAACTTGAGGGTCTGCTGAATCAAGTGATGAAGGCTTAGATCTGGATGTGTTAAGTTAGTATAGCACTGGGGTGTTGATCTGTGAGTGCCTTGTGTGGGGCCTGGATGAGGTTGGTTGATCTATTTGAAAATGTCTTTTGTGTGAAGTGTATCCATTTACACTTGAATGGCTACACCTTTTGATAACCTAAGGGCAAGTTTACATGTAAACAAGTGTGCTTCTCAATTCCCAGGGCAGAAAAACAAGGTTTAAAATTATTAGATTTTAAAATTTATTCTTAGAAGTGTAAAAGGTTATTAAAATAACAACAACAAAAAAGGAGATTGAAAAACCTGATGAACAATATTAGCTGTTGATTGTAGTAGAGTTGGCCATATGGGAGGGGAGTGGACTGACTGTTCTCGGGGAAAGGGGGAGTGGTGGATGCGGGAAGAGACTGAACATAAACTGTGCACCTATGGATGAGGACAATTGGGAGAGGGGAGGGGGCAGAGTGGGAATCTGGTGGAGGGGGGAAGAAATGAGGAACCTTTGTAATAATATGAACAATAAAGATTGATTTAAAAAAAAAAAAGCAGAAAAGGGCTATTGTGGGCTTATATTCAAATCACAAAAAAAATTATGTTTGTTAATAAATCTTTGGATAATTACAAACTATGTATGATCATGTGTTTATAGTGTATTTGGAACAGTTATAGTGTATCTGAATCTCAGATATTAATTTATTTAAAATTGTAGTTTCACATAGACAATTTCTGTTGAATTCATAAGAACTTTCACACCTGTAACATCAGCAATGGCCTTAGGAACGAGAATCCAAAATTCCACAAAACAAGATGGCAAAGCAAAAAGTTCCATTAAAAAGTCTTCCAAAAAAGATAATCTTTAATGATTTCAGGCTAACAGTTCTTAACACACACACACACACACACACACACACACACACACACACACACACACACTCCTTCCTGGGGTAACAGGCAGCAGCATTAAGGACACAGAATCCAAATCTGTGTTGTCTCATGCTCAGAAAACGGCATATTAAAATGTCAGTGATTCAGACAAGTTTTATTGTTTGATCATCCACTCCAGTTTTAAAGTTATTTATTTACAATCATTGGGACTCAACTAACTAATATCAAAGCAAATATACCAATCACTGCAATTCTAACAAAACAGTAAATAACCGGTTTCCTGATATTTATAATTTATGTTTTCCCCTACAAAACACCTACTACCATATTCCTTAAGTTTATGTCAAAACTCAGGCTAGGCCTGGTGGATGTGGCTCAGATGGTTGTGCAACATCCTGTGCATGGAAAGGTTGCCAGTTTGATTCCTGGTCATGGTGCATGACCGGGTTTCAAGGCTTAATTCCTGATAAGGGGTGTGTAGAAGGCAGCAGATCAAGCCCACAATCTGGGCAGGTGATTGGGAATCGAACTGTGACCTCCTGGATCATAGGTTGATGCTCAACCACTGAGCCACGCTGACCAGGTGGTACCTTCTTATAATAAAGAACACAACATAGTTGACTTAGGATCACTAATTAGGATTAACAAATATCTTAACCTTACAAATAAAGTAACTTCTGAGTAAAAGAAATACTATACTTGACCAACTCTTTAGTAGCTATCACTTGTTTATTCCATTAATCTTCAGATTAGAATGGAAGGGGGAAGACATAAAAGTAAACTGATACATCATATCATCGAACAATACATTAAACAGTAACTAAAGGCATTCTCTTGCCTCTTTAAAAACAAAGAGGCCAACAGTATGTTTCCATCAATTTTTAGGACTAAATAGCAATGGTAAGAAATTTGAAGATATTTCTGCAAACATTTAAATTTCTTCACTATTCTTGACTGTATCTTTTTTTTTATTAAGTTTTACAAAATTCCTCACTTAAAACTATTTTTCCAAACGTGCAGGATTGTCCCAAATAAATGTATACACAATTTAACAACTGATAGGTCAATTGATACTCCTTTAATACACTGGAATAATTCAAAGTGTATATACATTTTGGGGAGATACCTTGTATTTACATTGTGAGATGATAGGGATGTTCAAAGTTTTGCTGCCTTACCAAGACAACTAAACTAAAACTTCATAAGACTGTTTTCATAAGACAGGGTTACACTGTCTGAATTTTACACATATAACTAGAACCCCAATGCACAAAATTCATGGCTTTCCTTCCCATGGCTGCCTCACAGCCCCAGCTTCATCTGAAAGGTCCTCTAGAAGGACATCTGGTCTGATTCTCAACTATCCCAGGACATTAGAATTCCTTGGGATCTTTAAAAAACATACACAAATAAAGAATCTACCTAAAACCAGCTGTATAAAAATCACTACAGGTGTACTTAGGCATGTGTATTTTTTAAATGTGGCCAAGAGATTCCTATGGTAGTGGATAAAGAGTAACTACTTCAGACAAATTCAGTTATTCACAAAATCTCAGGACCTTTAAGTCACTCTATCAGTGACCGAATTTTCCCAGATCTGTTCTCCCAACTAAGGTTTGCCATTTTTATAATTTTAATATTTTAGAAGTAGAAAATTATGTGTTTTAACAAAAAAAAATCTGAAATCTCTGAAGACAAATGAAATAATCATTTCATGATGTATGAAAAAGATTTAAATCACACAACCTTATGGCTGTGTGAAGTGTATCCATTTACACTTGAATGGCTACACCTTTTGATAACCTAAGGGCAAGTTTACATGTAAACAAGTGTGCTTCTCAATTCCCAGGGCAGAAAAACAACAAGGTTTAAAATTATTATTTTAAAATTTATTCTTTAAAATTTTACAATGTAGATTCAAAACAAATTTTCCAGTCTTACTCCTTTGGCCTTTTAATACTAAGCTACCATAGTCTATGTGATATTTCTCAAACACAAAGGCACTTACACTTATTTATCAAGTCCAATGAATGAGTATGGTCAAATACTACCATATAATGCATAAATTAAAAAGTTCCAAACTACATATACCTAAATAGAGGCCCAGTGCATGAAATTCGTGCACAGGGTGGAGGGTCCCCTCAGCCTGGCTTGCACCCTATCCAATCCAGGATCCCTCTCATAATCCAGAACCACTGGCTCCTAACCACTCACCTGCCAGCCTGCCTGATGTCCCTAATTGCTGCCCCCCACTAACTGCCCTACCCTGCTCTCCCTTCCTCTCCATGCCCTTCAGACCCCTGCCGTAGGCATGCTGAGAGCTCTTGGCCACAGCCCCAACCTGTCCTGATTGGTTATGTGGTGGTGTTGTGGCCAATTTGTACATTCCTCTATCCTTAGTATAGCTGTTTCCTTTATTCCTGAAGATTTATCTATATGCCAATATTTTCTGCATATCATGCCACTACTCAGTAATTAATTCCTATTATCAGTTGGAGGTGGAAGAGGGCATAGGAGATAAAAGGTGATGGAAAAAATTAGAATAAAATAAAATTTAAAAATTAAAAATAAAAGCCATCCATAACCTATCCCTACCCACACATCTTTCAATTTTATTTCTTAGGAATCTCCAAAAAAATATTAATGTTGTTCTGAAGACACAATAAGTAATCATTATTACAACCTCCTTATCTTTCATTCATTCATTCATTCATTCATTCATTTTTAATTGATTTCAGGGAGAGGACAAGAAAGGGAGAGAAACAACAATTCTGAGAGATAATCATAGATTTGCCATCTCCATTGGGATACAGCCCACAATCCAGGCATGTGTCCTGACATGGAATCAAACGATAGCCTCTTGGTTCACGGTTTGATGCTCAACCCCGAGTAACAATGGCCAGGCCAACCCCCTTACCTATTAAAACTATATCACCATGATTCCTAATCTATAATATAATCTTAACACTCTAACATTAACTCTTAACACAATTTGTATTGTCAATTCACTATATATATTGATTATAGCATATTGTGTTTTAGTTGGTTTGCTTAAAGTTCACTTTACAATAAAGTTAGGTATCTTTTTAAATTTTACTGTAATCCCATACAATGCAAAGCCAAGTGGCAAGTATGCCATAGGGAAATAATGAAGAAACATATAACTGCTATTTAAGTTTCATTTCATCATTAGGTAAGTCCTTTTATTTGGCATACAAAGGACTTTCTTTTTGTTTTAAAAGAAAACTGATGTGTTTAAAAAAAACAAAAACTTAAGTCTAGAAAATATTTGACATGTTCCAACATGTCCTAAAGATACATAAACTGATTCTTTGAAATCAATAGAAACTTCATCTTACTAGTCTATCTCAATTTGCAGAAGGGAAGTATTTTTTCATTTGTTTTTGACAGAAAGAAGAGATTTTGTTTGAAAATGTTTATGTTGTTCATTACTACAAAATAGGAAAACAAAATGATTCTCACTAGGTGCTTTTTATCAAGATAGGCAAAAAAAACTTTTAACATACCTGTCGTAATAATCCCGTTGAAAGTCATAGTCCAAGTCAAAAGAGGAGCTGAAAAATAAATACCAAAGAGCATTAATTTGAAGCCATTAATGTCAATTCACAACAGCAGATAGGGGAAAAAACCCCAAAGCCCATGCCAAGCCAACTACAACAAATACATCAACAGATTAGCATGGAACAACTTCTAATCATTCAAATATCACCGAATTCTAAGCATCTTAGGCCACTGAACATGCAGTGGACAAATTCAAATTCAGGTGAAAGTTTTGCTAAAATTTCAACACACTACATAATAGCCAAAATAAGAACACTGAAAATTACAATAGTAAACTAAACATTCTTAGGCCATCTTCCCCTTCTTTCTCCTCAGCTCCTGAGAAGCTAAACGCCTCTTGAAGAATAATATAATTTATGCTAATGTCAAAGTATTCTTTAATAGCTGAAATCTCAGGGAAGTCTAATAATTTTATGGGAAATGGGTGAATAAAAGTATATTAACAAAAAATTAATAAAGCTTTACTTTGATACATTTAAAACAGACTACAATTAGCCCTCCCATTTCAAGAAAAACAGATAAGAGAATATGCCCACTGATGGACACAATGGAGTTATAAATAATAAAGTTCCGGACCTGAGTAGAGGGGACGGAGAAGGGTGTTCTGGTACTGACCCGTACATCTCCGCTGCAGATCGTTTCACACCTGCTTTTCCTCGGTTCACTTTTGGCTCTGCAGCCAGATTAATATCTGGAAAAAAATTTTTTTTTAGTGTTAACTCTGTTGGGATTTTTAAAAGTATACATAAGTCATATAGATAAGCAAAAATCTAATACTGTAACCTTTCCTTATAAACACTCAAGAATTTTTTATAAGACTGGAACTTAATCTTCCATTCCTTCTGTACCAAAAAAGTTTTCATCATTATATAACACACTAAGTTTGTCTTTGGTACCTACCATGCTCAGCTCTTATTTCAATGCAATGCTTACCATTCAAAGACCCATTTTGTTCACTTAGTTACTCTCACAGGAAAAAGGTATCAGTGACTAATAGTTGCCTTTCCAGAAATGACTATGTATATTTTAAATTAAACAAATATATTAGAAATGAATGACCTCAGAGATTTTATATGGCAGTTCATGAATTAATATAACTATGGTACCCTTAAATTTCTCCAAAGACAAATCTTTATTCTTCTTACTAGTAGAACCAATTCTTAAAGTTGCAAATACTTGACAGAAATGCTTAACCACCCTGTACATGCACATACATAAATACATACCAAGAAAAGGAGAGAAGGAAAAAAATATCCTAATATATATATGCCTAAAATAAAGTTTCCTGTCTGGGAGTTTGATTGCTTGCTATGACGTGCTCTGAATACCAGGAGAAGGCATGGAACGAAGGAAAGTAAAGGCAGGGAGCCAGCAGCCACTAGGGACCCTACCTAAGATTACATGCACTGGGCCTCTAGTTCCCATATAAAACGTAAATATTTAAAACACCGATTCGGCCGAGACCGGTTTGGCTCAATGGATAGAGCGTCGGCTTGGGGACTGAAGGGACCCGGGTTCGATTCCGGTCAAGGGCATGTACCTTGGTTGCGGGCATATCCCCAGTAGGGCATGTGCAAGAGGCAGCTGATTGATGACTCTCTCTCATCGATGTTTCTAGCTCTCTATCTCTCTCCCTTCCTCTCTGTACAAAAATCAATAAAATATATTTTTTTTAAAAATAAATAAATAAAAATAAAACACCCATTCGGCAGCCAACTACTTAGCCTGCCCATCCAATGCCTACCAAAGAAGAGTTCATGTGCTTCCTCATTAACAATAGGCCACTGTAGTTCTTTTAAAATTCAACTCATCAAATAACCAATTAAAAGCAGACATTTAGTACATTGTCTTTTTGCTAAATAGATAATTTATGTATAATCTTCAGTTCTTGTCCCACTAAATTCATTTCAAATTTAAAAAAAATATATATTATCGATTTTTTACACAGTGGAAGGGAGAGGGAATTAGAAACATCAATGAGATACATCAATCAGCTGCCTCCTGCACACCCCTTAATAGGGATGTGCCCGCAACCAAGGTACATGCCCTTGACCAGAATCAAACCTGAGACCCACAGGCAAATGCTCTATCTACTAAGCCAAACTGGTTAGGGCCATTTCTAATTTTTAATATCTAATGTTTATAAAGGTCTTGTGCTTGTACAGTTTTAACTGTAGTCATTTATAATATTAAAGATAGGTATTAAATTTTTTTAAAATGTCTATTCTATTGATTTTGAGAGAGGGGAGAGAAAGAGAAAAATGTATGAAAGAGATACATCGATGACAAAAAAATATGGGGATCAGCTGCCTTCTACATGGCCCCTATTGGGGATAGAGCCCGTAACCCCGGCATGTCCACTGACCTGGAATCCAACCAGGGACCTTTTGGTTCATTGGGACAATGCTCAACTAACTGAGCAACACTGGCCAGGGCAAGATAGAATTACATGTCTTAGAAAGCAATTTTGCCCTAGCCATTTTGGCTCAGTGACGTGGATTGAAGGATATCAAAATTCAATTCCAGTCAAGGGCACATGCCCAGACTGCAGGTTTGATCCCCAGAAGGGGGCATGCAAAAGGCAGACAATGATTCTCTCTCATTATTGATGTTGCTATTTTTCTCTTTCTCTCTGAAATCCATAAAAATATTTCTGAGAGCAATTTCTAAATGTAAAAAAAGAAACAAAAAGAACTAAACTATATCAAAATTAATTAGACAACTTTATAGATTTCATGTGATTCCAAACTGAGTCAATACCTAATAGATAATATATTAATAAAATTTTTATTTAGTAATCTTTAGTAAAAATACAAGTAGGAATATTTTAAAACTGTGGCACAAACTACACATAAAATTGTATTTTTCCTTTTCTTAAAAAGTTTTAAGTACCTCCTAATCTACCCATTGAATCTTGTCAGAAGCAATTACAATTCATAACAATAATTCCTGATATACAGACAACGGTTTCTAAATAATTCTCGTTAAAAGGAGCTCTTGAGCAAAAGGGCAACAAAATCAATTATTTCTCTAAAATCAGTACAACTCGAAATTTTAAAAAGAAATATATTATCTCTGAATTCAGATGTTTTATAATTATGCATACACAATGGATTTCAAAGACTTGGTAAGAAAAGAAAATGTAAAATACCCCAATCATATTTTTAAATGATTACATATCAAAGTGACAATATTTTGGGTATACTGGGTTAAGTTAAAAAAATTTATTTTAAATATATCTTATTGATTTTTTACAGAGAAGGGAAAGGGATAGTCAGAAACATAGATGAGAGAGAAACATCCATCAGCTGCCTCCTGCACACTTCCTACCAGAGATGTGCCCGCAACCAAGATACACGCCCTTGACCACATCGAACATGGGACCTTTCAGTCCGCAGGCCGATACTCTATCCACTGAGCTAACCGGTCAGGGCGGATTAAGTAAAATTAATGTCACCCCTCTGTTACTTCTTTTAAAATAGTTATTTACAAATTTAAAAATCGCATTCTGCCAAGACCGGTTTGGCTCAATGGATAGAGCGTCGGCTTGGGGACTGAAGGGTCCCGGGTTCGATTCCGGTCAAGGGCATGTACCTTGGTTGCGGGCATATCCCCAGTAGGGAGTGTGCAAGAGGCAGCTGAATGATGACTCTCTCTCATCGATGTTTCTAACTCTCTATCTCTCTCCCTTCCTCTCTGTACAAAATCAATAAAATATATTAAAAAAATAAATAAATTAATTAATTAAATTAAAAAATAAAAATCGCATTCTTAGCCGAAACCGGTTTGGTTCAGCGGAAGAGCGTGGACTGAAGGGTCCCAGGTTTGATTCCGGTCAAGGGCATGTATGTTGGTTGCGGGCACATCCCCGGTAGGGGGTGTGCAGGAGGCAGCTGGTCGATGTTTCTCTCTCATCGACGTTTCTAGCTCTCTATCTCTCTATCTCTCTCCCTTCCTCTCTGTAAAAAAAAAAAAAATCAATAAAATATATTTTTTTTAAAAAAAAAAAAATCCCATGCTTGGCTCACATTCTATTTCTATTGAATCAGCACTACTCCAGATCATAGGGGTAGAAAAAACTTAATAAGGAAGCAATCAGTTCAGAATGTAGGAAAATAATAAAGGCTTCTCCAACAAATGTCACAAAATTTTTAAATGGGAAAGGAATATAAGAACAGGTTTAAAGCATCTCTAGCTTAACATGCTAGAGTTCTATCAGAAGCTTTTCATGAATTATTTCAATCAGTTTATCTAAATCCTCTTCACACCCGAAAAGTACTAATACATCAGGTAAGAATAAGTAATAAACCAAGATACTATTATCTATATTTGAAGAGAAAATATAGGACTCAGCCAAGCTAAGTAAGCTGTCTAACAGAGTGAAGCTCCAATGCAGAGCCAAGAAATCTTGATTCTGCAGCCCTTGAATGACTACTAAGTTATACTGTATTCTAGCCAGTCCACTGTGACCAGTACCCACAGCCATTTATTATCTTACGAACTATCATTCCTATCTCCTCTACATTACACAAGACTACCACCTGTGAGTTATCTAGTCTCAACTACTAACGGCATAATAAATAAAAGTCTGTATTCAGCCTAATATATCTATAAACCTAACATTTTTATTATGCTAAAGTCAATTATCAAACCCAGAAAATCTCATACTATTAAAATGATAAAAAAAATTAATTCAACTCATAGCTTACCTAAAACCTGGCCAGCGATCATTCTGCCATCTTCTCCTGCCACCGCAGCCCGGGCATTTCTCTCATTAACATATTGAACGAAGGCAAAGCCCTTATGAACAGAGCAACCCACAATTTTGCCATACTTTGAGAAGATGGCCTCCACATCAGATTTCTTCACCACAAGAGTATTGAGATTCCCAATGAATACACGGGAGTTCATGGAGCGAGGATCTGTCTTGTTGGTAACATTGCTGGCCATTGTCTTTGATGATTACGGTTCCTCACAAAGACAAAACTGGAAGGAAAAAAATGCATTCAGGTGAAAAATGCTAAAAACGAAACATTCCTTAATAAAACTTCATCTACTCTTATTTTAAAGCACTGTGACTACCTAGAGTGCCAGTCAACCTCCACAGATCTCACAACAGCAAGTCTATTACTCTTTATAGATTAGAGGCTAAGAATATATTTTTATAGAAATTTGACTCCCTTACTCTAGTCTATTCTAACATTATTTTTTCCCCTCCACAGACAATTGGCAACACAATCTTCTTGAACATTCATTCTAAATGACCACAGTTATAAAGTCCTCATGCAAATTAGAACCCCCTAAGCTATCTATTACCAATTTTGACTAATTTTTCACCTTCTCAGTCATACTAACCTAGCCAATTCATTCACTCTGGAAATACCTTTTCTGACAACATGCCAGATACCTTAAGTATCTTTTTATAGAATTCAATGGCTAATACCCGGTTTCCCCAAAAATTAGACAGTGTCTTATATTAATTTTTTTCTCCCAAAGTTGGCTAGATCTTATTTTCAGAGGATGTCTTTTTCCATCTTATGTAATAACGTACAAAATATGGTTGGGACATTTAATACTACTAGATAGTAATGATAAACTGGGTGAAATCCAAAGACCCTAAGGAAGAGAATAAAAATTTACTCAGACTATTTAAAACAAAAATTATCTTTATATATGTTAGACTCAATCTTAATGTTTGGCACTCTTTTAGCTTTTGTATCAGTCTGCTGCCAGTTGCCATTCCAACCACCAGTTATGATGGACCTTCTATTGATTTAGAGGAACACTGTAAAGATTCCAATGTCTAATGATGTTTTTTCCAATACTCAAGAAAATCATGACAAAACTAATTCCCATGGATTATATTAAATTGTGTTATTATATACAAATAGGCAATATACATCATCTATACATTAGCATCACAATTCTTACCCATAAAATACCTAGTCATTTCATAAGCAGTACTGATTTTAAAGACATAACTGCCCTAGCTGAAACAGGTTTGGCTCAGTGAATAGAGCCTCCGCCTGTGGACAGAAAGGTCCCAGGTTCTATTCTGGTCAAGAGCATATGCCCGGGTGGCGGGCTCGATTCCCAGTGGGGGACATGCAGCAAAAAACCAATCAATGGTTCTCTCTCATCAATGATGTTTCTCTACCCATCCCTTCCTCTATGAAATCAATACACACACACACACACACACACACACATATGTATATACTAATAAAAGGGTAATATGGTAGTAAGACCGGACAACCTTTTAGGCATCCTTCCTAAGAAAGCCAGGCCCAGGGGGAAGCTGGCCGCAGTCCCGGGTGCCTGCAGCTGGCCAGAGGGAGGAAAGCCCGGGTTCCAGGTGCAGGGACCAAGGCAGAGGCAGTTAAGGGCAATCAGGCTGGCAGGAGGACAGTTAGGGGCTACCAGGCTGGCAGGAGGACAGTTAGGGGCTACCAGGCAGGCAGGCAGGCAAGCTATATAATAACTGCTTTTCTCTCCTTGCATTTCTGAAATTCAGGATACAATCTATTTCATTTTAGTTTACTATAAATTGTATTCTTATATAAACAGTAGTTCTTAATCATTTTTTTCCTAAACAATGGAAATTTACTAAATAGTAACCACTGAGAATCACCTACAGCCTTTCAAATATAAGGGCCAGAAATCCTTAAAACAAGAACAAACAAACCTAGTCCTGACCAGTGTGGTTCACTCAGTGTTCAGTTTGTGCACCTAAGGGTTGCAGGTTAGATTCCCAGTTAAGGGCATATACCTGAGTTGCCGATCTGTTCCCTGGTCAAATTGGGAGGTAATCATGTCTCTCACAATGTTTTTCTCTCTCCCCTCCAATGGAAAAAATAATCCTCAGGTGAGGCTTAACAAAACAAAAATCAAACCTAAAAACCTACTTAAGAGGATGGTTATACATGCCACCAGCATAGTGAACATGAACTGAAAACACCAAATAGAGATAAAGTTTATGTCCCCTTTACATATATTCCTTTGAACCATGGATCAGAAATGGATTTAAATGACCATTTCCTTAATTTTTATCAGGATGCTACATATAGAACAGAATGCATCACATATAATGCCATAGGGCAATGATTTTTTCAACCTATTTCAACTCATGGCACACATAATTATTAAAATTCTGCAGCAAAAAAATATATAGCTTGTGTCCACCTAGCCCAAAGAAAGTATAATTTTGATTCATTCACACTGGATCACTTCTGGATTGGCCGTTACCATATTTTTTACTTAGGAACCTAAGGGAAAAGAGGCATCCCTGACTAAATAACCAGGTATTATATGTTTTAAAAACATGATGTTTTTAGTGTCCTGTGGCAATTTACTATCTTATGGCTTAATTCTCTCAATGAATCCTATTTGAAAAGTCTGGTAGAAAGACATCCAGGAATATAAATAAAAAAGGTGCTAATAGTGGTTGTCATCTCGGAATTTTAGGATAGGATTTTATTTCCCATTTTCTTTGATAAGGTATGGTTTCTAAATTTGATAAAAAAAAAAAAATTAATGAAAAAATAATACAATGATCTCAGTTTCAAAAGCTGTGCTAAGGTCAACTGATTAGCTTTCAATGTCCATACTTACCACAAGAATTTAATCAAGATGTGAAAAATAGTAAAGATAGAAAACCCACAAAAGACCCATTAATCCCACTCCTAGGAACACATCCTTCTAAAGAAATAAACAAGAGTTATTACAAATTACTTTTTCATTGAACATTTTTCAAGTGTTTTCTAAGTCCAGGGCTACTTCAGGGGAAAAATGGGAACAGATAATTCTAGTAGTACGCCTGCTTACATTTTTCTGAGGAGGGAACAGATTTTCTTAAGTTTTAGAAATAACCAAATGATCTCAGGTCACAGTTCACACTGATTACCAAGGGGAGAAAAATGGTCAATATCCTAAATGCATACACACTACTGGAAAAGAACCAGAATCCCTGGAAGAAAGCAGCAACACAGAATAGTTTTGGAAACATTCTGAATCCTTACATAAAAGTAATCATATAGTAAAGCCAAAAAACTATAGATAAAACTTGGTACTGTGGTATCCTCCCCACCAAAACTCCCAAGCCACTATGAATGGTATCACTAACTGGGGAAGTAGCAACTGGGAATTAAAAGACTTAGGAATTTAAGAATCTCAAAATATCCAGCTGGTATTACTAGAAATAAATTTTAAGGGAGGAAGTTGAAATGGGGAATTTTTTTGCCTGCTCCAATAGTAAACAAAAGATTTGATGGGTTTGACCGGTGTTGCTCAGTGGTTAAATATCGACCCATGAACCAAGAGGTCACCGGTTCTACTCCCAATTAGTGCACATGTCCAGGTTCCAGGGTCAATCCCCCAGGTAGGGGGGGCGTTCAGGAACAGTAGATGTCTCTCTGATAAATGCATCTATCTCCCTTGCTTCCTCTCTGAAAGCAAAAACAACTTTTTAAAAATGTATTTATTTCAGAGAGAAAGGGAGAAGAAAAACATCAATGATGAGAATTATTAATCGGCTGCCTCCACCATGTCCCCTTAGCTGGAATCAAACCTGGGACCCTTCAGTCCCCAGGCCAACGTTCTATCCACTAAGCCAAACCAGCTAGGGCATAACTTTTTTAAGGTTTGATAATGCTAGAGCAGCTTAGTCTCTACAAAATCTCAAAATTAACACAAAAGCCCCATGTACATCATTTTAATGCCCCCCCCAAAGTTATTGCTCTAGTTATTTCCTTTTTAAGTAATTCTATCTCCTAAATGTATATTCTTAAACAGTATAGTTTTACTCATTAAAATGCATGTGATATTTTTGAGGGTTTTTTTTCTTAGAGAGGGGGACATTGATTTTTGCTACACATTATTTATACACATTCACTGGTTGATTCTTCTCTGTACCCTGACTGGAGACCAAATAAATCATTGAAGCAAAACTCTCTAACCAACTGAGCTATCCCTGCCAGAGTCCAAATTTGATTTCTTTTAAATCACTTTTTAGGTAAGTTCCCCTTCAACTTAAAATTTATCTTGACAAATACAGGGCCCTTGACCTGCAGTTCCCAATCTGGATTGTTCTGAAATTTCATCCTTAATACAATTACATATATTGTTATCTGTATCCCCTGAAATAGGAAACTGGGACCAAAAGCTTGATTAGACTTGTGTGACCATTCTGAAGTATTTTTGTGATGTTATTCTTAATCCACCTTATGGGTATTATGTTCCAAGCTTATCTCTAAAATATTACTTAGAAGTCCTAAGAATAGTCTCTCACTTTTTGCATATTATTGCCAGTCAGCCTATGCTCTTTGTATCTGAGTTGTGTTGGTTGGGTATATAATCATTGGATCACTTTTTAAAAATATTTTATGCCATTTATGTCTGGACTATCATAGAACCTTCCCAAAGTGTAAACCTTGCTGGCAAAGTACTATTTTCCCCTCATCCCCAAATTTAGTAGTTACCAGAATTTTTGCTTTATCATAACTATTTTTTATAGACTAATCTACCCTTATAGGATAAGTCAATTAGTCCTCTAACTTTTAAAGGTAAGTACTAGAAAAGGGTTAGATGTAAGTACTAGGAAATGGTTATATTTCTTGCATATCCTAATCACCCCATAATTCCTCAATGATGAAAGAAATTGTTACAGCCTTTATAAGTTTTCTCAACAGTCATTTTAAAAGTGAAATTCATTAAGACAAATTCATTGTATGTTTTACATTAACACCAGATTTCAAGTGTAAAAGCAAGTTGCAGAAGGAATGGGTCAATTTTTGCTTTTTAGTTTATATATACCTGTAGCACTTGCATTTTACATGCTTTCGCAAGTAGATTTTAACAACTCAGAATTCTAATTATCAGCAACTGCAGTCTTCAGAAAACTTACAAATAATTTTAAATGTGGAAATTATAATGCTGAAGTCCAAAAGCAGGAT